TTATTCCTCTATGTGCTAAGGAGTGGTCATCTATCTGTTGCTATTTAATTATTACAAGTTGCAATGAGGTAAGTACTGGATCTTCAATAAAGATGAAGACAAAATAAGAAAGATGCCATGAAGACAGATTAGGTGATTAGTTGAAATGTCCATTATTTTCACCTATAGAGATTGCAAAGCCAGTTTCGATTTCAGGTCTCTTTCTAACTGAGCCCATACTCACTCCATTCCACCCAGTCTTGTATGGACATCATTTATGTATGAGATAACATGTGCATATAAAGGTGGACATTAGCAAATTAAATTTTTCACTAATCATTTGTAAAACAAATGTGCCCAACATCATATGCATTGCTTTAGTTGTTTTAAGGATACAGTTACTTCCTGTGTCTTTGACCACTCTAGGTACGGTATATAAAATGGAAGCATCCAATTATTTGTCACTATTTTATTTTAAAACTCCATACTGTCAAACATATGCTTAGGATGAGGGCCTGAGGGAAACCATCTTTACTTTCCCTTTACCAAGAAAGCATTGGGAGCAATTGCTGAAGAGAAATCTAACTTGAAAATAAAAGCAACTCCAAGCAAACAAGTAGAAACTAGCTTAGACAGCCTTCAGGCCACAGGCAAATCACTAAAAAGACAAAGAGCTAGGGTAAAACTGGCTAGTAGCTTTAACATGTTGGGTTTTTTGATGATTGAAATCTGCATAGAGATCCCAAACATTTCTCTTGTTTTCCCCTTCCAAACCGCATTTCTGTTAATGTGTGAAAACGCTACAACTTGTGCGAAATGTAATCCACATGCTTTGGTGCATTTACACTTACATGCTCTTGAGAATAGCAGAATGGCCTAACAATACATCTTCTGATTTTTTCAAGAAATAGCAACACAATTAAACATTTTGTGAAACACAAACTTAATTGTAAAAGAAGGTAGACTCAATCTCAACCAACGTTCTTGAAATTTAAACATTATTTCAATATTAGTCTAAGATAAAACATTTTCATTGACGTTGAAAACACTTAAAATACATTCAGCTGCTTTAAGTTATAGACCAAATAAAAAAAAAAACTCAGTAATGGGTTCAACTTTTCTTTTCTGGCTAGAAAGAGGTTAGACTTCAGAGACGCAGGAACGTGGGGTCAAATCTCTACTCAAGGGTTTGACAGTTATAGTGACCTTCAACAAGTCTCAATTTCCTCCTCATCTCTAAAATGGAGCTAATTGCTTAAGGCTTACTGAATTATCCAGGAGATAAAACAAACTGTATACGCAAAATGCTCAAATAGAGATAAATACTCAGCAGATGGCTGCTCACATTCTGTTCTTTCATATTTGAATATTCCACACAATGATGCCATTAAAACTGATTTACACAATGTAGGTTTTAGCTACAAAAGTGTAGGTTTTAGCCGGTGTTGGTGGCTCAAGCTTGCAATCCTAGCTATTTAGGAGGTTGAGATCTGAAGATTCTCAGTTTTAAGCTCAGACAAAAAAAAATCTGCCACTCTTATCTCCAGTTAACCATCTAAAAGCCCAAAGTGGAGCTGTAGCTAAAGTGGTAGATGGGTAGTCTTGAGCAAAAAAATCTAAGGGACAATTCCTAGGCACTGAGTTTAAGCCCCTAACACTGACGTCTCTCTCTCTGTCTCTGTCTGTCTGTCTCTCTCTCTCTCATACACACACACACACACACACACACACACACACACACACACACACACACACACACACACACACACACAGTTTTTGTATAGTTTGTGGAAATAACCAGCAGATATAGAGTTTCTAACAACACTTCGAAAATATACAGGGCTCTGAGGAGTACGACTGATGGACTGCCCAGTGTGAAATCCACACAGCCCTCTGTGACTTACATCAGGTCTAGACAAAGGGAGCACGGAGGAAGCATCTGGGAGCTCCTGCAGGCCTCCCCAGCTATGTACTGTCTTAATAGTACTCAAAGGATGAAGCTAGAAACTCATGGTGTGTAATTCCATAGCTAGATTAAAAAAAATGATGACAGCACACAGGACTTCATTATGATTTGTCCAGAATGAATGCACAGGAGGCAGCATAGTCCAAGCTGAGCAGACAAACCCCACTCAAGCCTTCCTTGGCTTGTATTGAGTTATTTAGGGAAGATCTTACATTTTTGCCTAGGAAATCCAACCTATAGCCTCCTGCATAGCTGGAATCTCTGGCATGTGCTACCAAATCTAGCTTATTGGTGACATGGAGTTTCACTAACTTTTTACACAGGCTATCCTAAAATCATGGAAGTCCTGACCTAGGATTAGTGGCGTGAGCCACCATATCCCATCCTCCAATTGTGATCTCTTCCTGCAACGGAGTTCCTTCTTTTCAACGCTGGAAGAAAATACTTCCTTCAGTGAGGATTAAAAATGACTTGCTCACCGACCCTAAATAAACTCAAGCATGAAGTCAAGCCACTCCCCTCTGGCCAAAGCCACTTGGACGAAAAGATGACATAACTTCTTTATTATCCAACTGAACTCCTTAAGATGAAAGTCCAGAGTGGGATATAATATTTAAGACTTTTGTATTTAACGATTACATGATGTCTGTTTTGACTCCTGAAATTAGTTTACATGTCTAATTACATTTAATTACTTTATTCCCAGAAATTCAGTGCATAACTCTGAGGAAGGAAAAAAAATAATAGTAAGATTTCTCTGGGTAACCAGTGGAAAATGGCTGCCGTTTACATAACAAGGATTTAAACACCAACCCCGGGAAATTTCCTCTCCACCTATCCAGATAACGAAAACAAACAAAAAAGAAATATTTTGCTATCACAGAGGCATCCACTTTTCCTGGTTCTTTTTATTTGCTTTTGTTTTGATTTGTATATGTGGTTTGGCATTCAATGATCTAGTTAGATTACTTCAAACTGCTTGCAAACCTGCTCAGGGCTCAGTCCTTACACTGATAGGTGAAAATACTGTGAACTCGTCTAGTTCAAGGTTTATCCAGGACAACTGGGTAGTACATGCATCAATTGTTCTCACTGGACACTTAGTCCACACCCCAGGAATCCGGTCGATAACTCAGGGCTGGTCCGCATGAAGGTGCCTTGTCTGTTAGACAAATTCACTAATGATCAGGAACCCATTAAGATCTGCTGGGTGACACGTTGCAGAGGAACATCTGACATCTTGGCAGCTTTCCTGGTCCCAACTAACAGCACATGAATTCCCTGAGCGTGAAAGCCCAGGTCTCACAAAATATTCCCTTCCTCAAGCCCCAGATAAGCACAGCTGAGGGAAATCCCTAAGCCAAGACAGTGACAGTAACTTGGCTGCACTGGTGTGGACGGAAGACATTCCCAGAGACGGAACGCACACCGCTCTGTGTGGCAGTGCAAGTCTTCCCCCACTGAATGGGAACAGTGGTGGAAAGGCCCTGGACTGGCCAGGGAAGGCTACAGCCCTTACTGTCCATCACCAGAGATCGCACGTGCCGATTCATTTCACATTCATTGCTTATCTTGCTATTGCTTAGGGTTCATCGTGGTAAAAATTAATTAACAATAATCATGATGATGAAAGATTCAGGAAAGCACCCCAACTAGTGTGTTTGAAAGTTCACCTCCCTGCCAGCATCTCTCACTCTGTTGACAGACTCCGGTCCCTTCCTTTCAGCTCCTTCTTCTTTTCCGCAGCTTTAACTGATCCCACCAGGGCTATGCTCTTTCTAGAAGATCGATGGCGTTGCACGCACAACGTGAAAACTTTACACGCTTTTCCTGTTGCCCTCTGTAAGGTCTTTCTCGAAGGCAGAAATCACTTCCTTCACCTTTTAGTTTCCAGTTGGTTTTACTTCGCATTCTAGCAGACTTGAACTTTCAGATCCCAGCTGAAACTTTGGTCATTCTAAATTTTTCTTCCCTCCTTCCCCCAGTGGGATCTGTGACAGCTTTCTCCATGGCTGCTATCCATTATAGAAATTTAACTGTACTTGGAGAGTATGTGATTTCAGAAACATCTAATTTCTCTAACTCAAGGGAAGAAAAGAAAAGGAACAGGGCAAGGTAAAAAAGTATGAAGATTTGTCCTGATGCCAGAAACCAGGTGCCACCCCCCCACCCCCCACACCATTTCTTGTATAGGCTTAAACTGTAAACAAAGGAAACAAGTGAAATAAATCACTTTCTGGTAATTTCCATGGATCTGTTCATAAAAGTGGATTTAAACATTTCTAAAGGGTGCACTCTACACACAGCCTAAGAATTTCCACTGCTCTGCAAAGCTCCCATGCCTGCAATAGGAGTTACTTGGGAAGCGGCGAGAAGGAGGATTGCAATTTGAGGCCAGCCGAGGCAATGAATAAATAAATAAATAAACTTAGCAAGACTGAATCTCTCAACAAAAAACTTGGGTGTGGTGGTAAATCCCTGTCACTCCAGCTATGAGAGAATCTTATAGTAGAGGGGTTTGGTTCAGGCTCTGCTGGGGATAAAGTGAGACCATATCTCAAAAAAAAAATGACTAGAACTCAAAGGACTGGAGTCATAGCTCAAAGGATAGAGAACCTGCTTAGCATAAAATGCAATGAAGACCACAAACATTATTGTCACTGAGGTAATGAAACATTCTTTAGAAGTAAGACATATCCTGCAGTCCCGGCATGCATTCTTTATAGCTAATGGTGGGTTCTCTACCACTTGAGCCACACCTCCAGTCTGGCTTTTTTGCTGATTAATTGGAGATGGAATCTCTCTGACTTTTATTCTCAGGATGGCTTTGAACTGCAATCCTTAGATATCAGTCTCCTGAGTAGCCAAGATTACAGGTGTGAGCCACTGGCACTGGCCTTCAGTATACATTCATGAGGATTCCCCTTTTAGCCAAAATTATCTTTGGGTAATGTGTTAATGAGTTATCCAGGGGCTCATCAGCTATTTATAGTAGACAACACATGGGACAATTAATGATAGAAAGTGTCAATGAAAATAAAAATGATTTTCAAACCTGGGACTGAAATCTTCCCCACAGTTGGATGCTCCATTTCCATAATGAGGCCGTTGTGTAACACCTTAAAATAGAAAAAAAAAAGAGAGAAAGAGCTTACAGAATAAAACTGTCTTCAATCTCAAGGTATGGGTGGCCAACACTGATGAAAATATTACATAACACAGAGACCTTGAAAATATTCACTTCCAAATAACTATTTGAAGTAATATATGTTTTCTCCTGAAAAGATTAAAAGACTCAAAGATTAGAAAAAAATATATTTGAAGAAAATGTTCCCACCCTTTTTTGTTGTTGTTGTTGTTTCTTTTGTTGGTTGGGGTTAGAACTCAGGGCCTGGGCACTGTCCCTGAGCATTTTTGCTCTATCACTTTGAGCCACAGCTCCACTTCTGGTTTTTGAGTTGTGAATTGGAGATAAGAGTCTAATAGGGACTTCTGTCCAGGCTGGCTTTGAAACAGATCCTCAGATTTCAGCCTCCTGTGTAGCTAGGATTGTAAGTGTGAGCCACCAGGACATGGCCACTTTAACTGTAACAGATCAGAGCAGAGGGAACGAAGACCTAGACCAGCAGATCCTGAGCGTGAGGCTCATGCCCTTGTGGTATTCTGTTCCAGAGAGGTAGGGGAGGGGGGTGTGGCTCTCTCTGTCCAGTGGGAGGACACTGGAACACTGTGACAGTATCTGAACAGAATCAGTTGGTTGAAAGCCCAGAGGAGGCTCCAGGTCAGAGGCTGAGTGAGCAGGTTACACATGGGATGTTTTCCTTTAATCATGACACTGGATTCCAGAAATACGCCTCTCCTAACCTGGAATGGGGCCTCAAAAATAACTAAGAAATTTTGTTTATCAACATAGCATCTTGTACATCTCATTGTTGCAATGGGTCAAGATGAACTTTACAATTTAGGTGGGTGGGGGGAGTGTAGTTGTGGAGATGGGAGGGAAGGGATAGTAGGGGAAAAACAAAGGAGGAGGCAACAATGCTTGATAAGCTATATATGTGCTCATTACCTTGCTCATGTAATTGTAACCCCTCTGTACAGTATTTTCACAATAAAAAAGTATTTAAAAATCTAAGAAAAAGCGAGAGCCCCCATCCTAGAAGAAACCCCATCTTAGAGTAAGTACTAGGTTCCCCTGTGGTATGACCATAGACAATGCATATTCTTCTGATCCTGTTTCCACACATGAGGGAAATATGTGAAATTTGACTTTTTCAGATTGTCTTATCTCTCACAACATGATGGATCTCCAGTTCCATTCTTTAAAAAAAATGACATGATTTCAGTTTTCTTTATGGTTACATAGTATTCCATGACATACCATACTAGATGAGAAATCATTTTTATTAGCTTTTCTATTTCACATCCTTGCTCATAAAAAGATTATGTTAAGAGTATGAGCTGGTGAATCTTGCTATTATCTGAAGATCAAATGCCCAGAGAACTGTCACAGCATCACTGGTTGGGATGTGGGCATGAACTTTTAGTCTATTATCTGCCTCTGTTACAGACAGGATAGAAAGGGAGATGCTCTCGACTTGATTGATGGTAGGGCTGAAGCACAACTTACATATCAGTGCCCACATAAGTCTTGCTAGAGCTCAAGGGCAATAGATGTTAGAATTTATTGCATTGCATTGTATTGTAAAGATGTTGTACAGAGGGGCTAGAGCTACATGAGTAAGGCAATGAGCACATTACTTGTCAATCAATGTTACCCCTTCCCTTGTTGTCCTGCTATCCCTTCCCTCCTCCACCCCCCACTCCTCCTCCCCTACCCCCCACCCTCCCACCCGAAGTTGTACAGTTCATTTCCAATTTTCTGTGCTGTGAGTATCCTTGTTGCAAGAGGTCATCCTGTGTCAGCGTTTCAGCGTTTTGTCATTCCCCTTCCCCTCCTAGATTAGACAAATATATATACAAGATGCAGGGAACCAAAATCAAGTACAGTGAAACAGGGGATATGCCATAGGGGAAAAATATACAAAGAAAACAACAAAAAATAGAATAAAATCACATGGTACATTTAAAACAATAACAATAAAAACGGACCTCTTGTGTCCATATCTCAGGATTCATTTCATTTAGCATTATTTTATACGGTCATATGTACATGGCTTTTGAGCTTTTCAGCTCACCTGGTAAGATTAACCTATATGTATACTAATTATTGTAAATAAGGAAAACCATGGGACCTAAATTTTGGGGAACTGGATTATTTCACTTAATGTGATTTTTCCAAGTCTTTCCATTTCCTAACAAATGGGGCGGTGTCAGTCTTTCTGATGGAAGCATAGAATTCCATTATATAGATAGAGATAGATATATATATATAGATAAATATCTCATATTTTCTTGACCTTCTTATCTACTGAGGGGCATCAATGTTGGTTCCATATCTTAGCTATTGTCAATAATGCTGTGATAAACATAGTTGTTCTGGTACCTTTAATATTGCCTTGTTTGTAAGCATTTGGGTAAATGCCCAAAGTTGGATTGCTGGGTCATAGGGAAGTTCTATGTGGAGTCTTTTGAGGAACCTCCATACTGCTTTCCAAAGTGGTTGAACAAGTTCACACTCCCACCAACAATGCAGTAAGGTTCCCTTCTGTCCACATCCCCTCCAGCATCTGTTGTTATTAGAGTTCTTGATTTTAGCCATTCTAACTGAGGTGAAGTAGAATCTCAATGTTGTTTTGATTTGCACTTCTTTTATGGCCAGAGAAGTTGAGCATTTCTTTATGTGTCTATTGGCCATTCTTATTTCCTATTCAGAGAAGTCTCGTTTTAATTTTTTAGCCCACTTCTTGATGGGGCAGTTATTTCTCTGAGGATTTGTTTTAGGATGATTTAATTTTTTGAGTTGTAAGTATATTTTAGATATGAGGCCTTTGTCTGCTGTCTATCTAGTGAAGATCTTCTCCCAGTCTGTGAGCTTTCTATTGATCTTACTAGCTCTATCCTTTGCCATGCAGAAGCTCTGCAGTTTCATGAAATCCCATTTGTCCAACCTTTCTTTGATTTGTTGTGTTTCTGGATCTTTATTAAGAAAATTAGGGCCTGTGCCAAGGAGCCCTAGAGTTTTTCCTATTTCTTCCTGTAATGTTTCCAGAGTATCTACTTATACTTTGAGGTCTTTGACCCACGTGGAGTTGATTCTGGTGCAGGGTGATATATGAGGATCTAGCTTTAGTTTTCTACAGGTGTTTAATCAATTTTTCCAGCACCATTTACTGAAAAGACTCTCTTCCATTCTTTTTTTTTGCTCCTTTATTGAAGATTAGGTGTCTATAGGTCTGTGGGTTCATTTCTGAGTCTTCAGTTCTGTTCCACTGGTCTTCAAGTCTGTTCTTGTGCCAGTGCCAAGCTGTTTGGATTGCTATGGCCTTGTAGTAGAGTTTGAAGTTATTCCTCCAGCACTGTTCTTTCTGCTAAGGATTGTGTTTGCAATTCTGGGTCTTTTATTGTTCCATATGAATTTTTGGATTGCTTCTTCTATTTCATTGAAGAATGAGGTTGGGATATTGATGGGTAGTGCATTGAATTTGTAGATAGCCTTTGGCAGTATTGCCATTTTCACGATGTTAATCCTCTCTATCCAGGAGCATGGGAAGTTTTTCTACTTCCTTAGTTCTGCTTTAATTTTCTTTCTCAGGTTTTTAAAGTTTTCATCATAGAGGTCCTTCACTTCTTTTTTTTTGAGGTAGTATGCCCCAAGTGTTCCCCAAGTATGTCAATACAACAACTCACTGTAGCATTGTCATTTGCTGATCACATGACACTTCCGTCCAGCAATTCATTCAATCTTTGCATTCCAGAGTCAGTCCCACATCTTCATCTCAATCTCTGCCAATATCTGGAGCCCATTTATCTCTAATTCCCTGTCCTCTCCTTGGAAAAGAATCCCAAACTCCATTTCCCAGTGTCAGTGGTCATTCAGGTAACTCTGAAACCACTCCTATTTCTCTAGTCTGGGCCTGGGTAGAGTCCCCTAAATTAGTAAGTGGCATCAAACCTTCACTCTGAGCCACATCTGCTTTTTTATTTGATGACTTTTTCAGATCAGCTGACATGAGGGGAGGAAGCTATGGAGGCTATGTAGACATATATACATATATATATATATGTATGTATACATATATTGCTGTAGATATATACCTAATAGATAAATAGATAGTAGATATTGCTGTGGATATATATATATATATATATATATATAAAACAGATAAGATAATAAAATAGTAGGTGGATAGATAGATAGATGAATAGATACAACATGATTTAAGTATAGGATTATTTAGGAGGTGAGAAAGAAGGGGAAGAAGAAAAAAATGAAGGATGCATAATTTTCAAATACATTATGATTGTGTTTAAAGATGACATAAGTAATCTTAATGAAAACTGTTGATCAATAGGTTGATAGTGAGGATGGTAAAGAGAAAACTATAATGACTTATGCTGATTAAAATATAATACATACACATCTGAAATACTGTGGTGAAACTCCTTGGTACAATTAATGCACACTAAAAATGGCAAAACTTCTTGGTATAATTAATGCACACTAAGCAAAATTAATGTCAGGAAAATCAAATAGGATCTGTTGGGCACACGTATTATCACAAGGGGGGAGGTGAAAGAAGAGGTTGAATAAGGGCAAATAGGGTGCAAGTAGCATATTTGCATATATGCAAATAGAACAATAAAATCTGTTGAGATTGTTTTAGCAGGATCTGGCAGGAAGCAGAGGATGATCTTGGGGTGAGGCTGATCGGTATATATTGCACACATATATGGAAATGTCACAATGAGCCCTCTTTAGCCCACTCTACACACTAACGTATGCTAATAAAAAAATCTTTAAAAAATGTCTTCTCACTTGCAAAGCTCAAGGTAAGAGGTCCGATTTCTGGAGGGTCACCGTTTTCATGAGCTTTTTGTTCACTCTATGGCACAAGTCATCAAGAAGGCAACTTCTTGGTGGCTTTGCCAGCTGGGGACTGCAGCTCGCATCTGGCTAAGCCTTCTGGCATCCAACGCTTTCTGGGGGAATGGTCGC